CTGGCATCCTTCTTTCCTTTAATTTCTGCATTATCATTTTGATCTAGGACAAGGGAAGAAATGCTAGTGAATTTGACAGTGGTAGTAATAAGACTATACAAGACTTGCTTGGGTGCTTAAGACTCCTGTGCAAGCCAGGACCTGTCTGCAGACTTGTTCCACTTTCAGCTCAGGTAGATGCTGAACCATCAAAACTGCATGCCAAACACAGATCTGTCCTGGAGCATAATTACACTGTTGGGCCAGGAAGGGCTTGGAGGCAACCATGTCCCTACACTCACATTTGACAGGTCAGGTCTGGGGACTACAGAACTGGTGGGCTCACCGTTATGCCTGGGAAGATCATGGAGCAGATCCTCCTAGAAGATATGCTAAGGTACATGCTATGCCAAAAGCAAAAAGGATGCCAATTTTTCACCAGTCTTGTGATGAGGATTTGATGGAGCAATGTCATTGTGAAGAATAGAAGTTCTCCTACAAGGTGGAACAAAAGCCTTGCTTTTGGTTTTCAGCTACGTGGACTGAAAAGAGGCTTATTTGTGTGCAGCATTCAGCAGGGTTTAGAATGGCTGCAGATTATTTGCAGTAGTGTGGCTAAAATCTTCCTGACCTGTCACAGACACCTGACAATCAGTAATTCTCCCAAGTCAGGTTTTGTCATAGCAATGAGAACAAGCTGACAAACTCAAACCAGTTATCACAAGATTTGTGCAGTTCTCTGACAGCCTTTGCAGGTGCTGGTTATATTTAAGGAAAGGTGAGGCTAACATCTGACTCTAATCTTAGAGGAATGTTGTCTGAAAAGGGGGAAAAGGCCAGTGAAAATGAAAATGTACTGACTGGAGTGGCAGAAAGCTGTATCTCAGCTTGGTCTCAGCCACTGGGACCAGATAACATGAAGCCAAATCAATTCTCTATGTTCTAGAAAAGATGGGGCATGCTACTCAACACCTGGTAGAGAGGGTGTGTTAAATTTTAGTGCTTGTCATATTCAGTGTCTGTTTTTTTTCCATTTCTCTGCCTGCCCAGGCCGTGGTGAGAAGTGACACTGCCCTTGGAAGAAACTATTTCCAAACTTTTTTTTGTTACCATTACCACTAAAAATATCTTGATGCTCCACTCAGGTTTACTTTTTTCCAGCTCCATTTCATGATTCCTAGCTCTCATAATCTCAGAATTTGTCTAAGAAGTTATTCCATTATGAACCAGTGAGTCTTTCCAAAATTTAAATTCTGGAAACAAATCTAACTCCAAAGCTTTAGCATCAACCAACACCTCTGCCTGGACTGATTGTTTTCAGCAAGAACAGTGCTTTGAAAGATGAGTCTCCTTTCCAGGCTCTGTGCTCTTTTTTGGCTACTCAATCATTTCCAAATCAATAGCTGTCTCTGGTTGCCCCCCCTCTCCTCTAGATCCTGCTCTTTGCTACTTCATTTTGGTTTTAATTTGCCACAGCAAAATTGCAGTCATTCTTTCCCCACCCTAATTAAGAAACCTATCCGTTAAGGAGAAAGAAAACAAAACCAAAATCTTATCTAAGCCCTTAGCACAGAAAAGAGGAGGAATGATTGGTGAGATGATCACCTCTAGAAAGCCAAGGCCTTTATTGATTCTTCTGGCCTTCCTCAGTAAATACAGAGTGAGTTTTTTAAATTCACCTACAAGGAAGCTAAAAGTTAATGTAAAATACTGACTTCTCAACATCAGAGGAGAAAGAGGCTGTATGTCTTCTAGGCTGACTCACTTTTTCTTCTCTATACATAGTTCAACAAGAATATTTTGAGAGTCTTTCATTGTGCCTCATAGATTCATAAAATCACTTAAGTTGGAAAATACCTCTAAGATCATCAAGTCCAAGCATAAACCTAACACCTAAACCTAAATCTTGGCTGTAGTGGACAGCCAAGTCCACCACTAAACCATGTCCCTAAGCACCATTTCTACACGTAAGTGTGAATGCCACCTCACGTTACCTCTATTTCAGTTTCCCCACATTTTGTTATAAACTGGCCTTGCTTCTGAACTTCCAGGGTCTAATGCTCCTGATCTAGACTTTGGAAGAGCTTTGAGATCATGGAGCAGATGAGAAAAGCTGTACTGTGGGCAGGTGGCAGCAGCACTGAGCTCTTGAATTAAGGAAATAAGAATTGAGTGATGGTGAAGGAGGGCACAACCAGTGCTGAGATGCATGATTACATGGACAAAAAGGGTCAGGCTACACAGAGAAGGTCAGGGGAGAGTCCTCTACACATGGGGATTTTGTGGAAGAGGACATTCAACAGCCCCACAGGAAAAGGTCAGAGACAGAATAATCTCTATGGACTTGGTAAAAAACAAGATGGGAAGTGTCTCCACAAGGTTGAAGCTTTCACTTCCTCATCCAGAGGAATAAACACCTCTATTCTGAAAAGAGGGAAAGCTGCGACAAGCTTTTCCAGACTTTATCCCCTCTCTCCTCCACTCCTGATCCAGTGGAAGTGGTACTTTCCATGATGCCTATCTGAATACAAGCCCTAGCTCCAAATAAAAATCAGGTCTGACTCCCTGCTGTACTCCAGAGACGTATTTACCACCTTGGAGAGATAAGCATTTAGCTGATTAACCTCAGTCTCTGTGCATTATCAGTTTCTTCTAAGGGGGGGTGATATAATTGCAGGAACCAGGTGGGGATTGTGCCTGCTGGACTAAAATTACTCTGATATTCCAGATTGTTTCTCTCCTCTCTAGGACACCAAGAGCAGAATCCTTCAGAGCAGGACCTGCTACAGAAGTCCAGATCAGCTTGCATTAAGAGCATGAAAGTATCCTTGAGACTGGTTTCCTAAAGGAAGAAAGCATATGTTCTTAAGGGTTGTGCATGTGCTAAACTTGGTGTGTCCTCCAATTCCTTTCCAGTAACTTTGAAACCTGTTGGTCTATTTTAATTAGATTTGATAAATTTCACAGCAAACAAAGTTCCTGCAGGTAGTAGGAAGCCAGTTAGAGGAGAGGGACCCTATAAATATCCTGCTTCAGGGAAATGGTGCACTGTGCATGTATTAAACTCTGGGGGCATCATATAGGAAACTATCACATATAAGTACTCATCTGGATGAAAAGCTTCAGTGAGAACTTAGTTTTTCAGGAACAGAAGTCCATAGGGGACTATGGTTCATTCATTCTGCACCTCACAAAACTACTACTTTTATTTTGTTATGATGTAGATGGGAGGAAAAAATATTTAATTTGGGAAACACTGTAAAAAAGTGGATCTAGTGCATCTAGCAGATTTAGGAACTAGGATTCAGGAGTCAATTTGTTGTTGGCTTTCTGATTGTAACAAAAACCAGCCCTAGGAGAGAGAGTGGTGCAGCATCTGAATCAGACAAGGTTCTGATCAGGGCTAAAGTAAAGAAAGGTGGGGGTTTAGGGCACATATCTGGGGAAATGTTGTGGTTCCTGGGGTCCTTCCATGCAGCTCAGAGTAGACTGAGGGGAGTTGGTCTAACTGTAGACTTCAATTATTTGTAGGAGAGTCACAAAGAGAGTGGAAGCAAACTCCTGGTAGTAATAGATGGTAAGAAAAAGGCAGAGAGAATGGATAGAGGTTGTATCCTTGGAAACTCAGGTGAAATTTCTTCATAAGGTATGACAGCACTGGGCACAAGCTAGTGAAAAAAATGATCGAGTCTCCATCACAGAAGGTTTCTAAGTGTCATGTAGACAACAGCACTAATTCCTAGTGGAGGTTGGACTAGACACCTCCAGAGATCCTTCAACCACCATTTCTGTGGTCCTTTACCTTCTGTCCAGATGAGGATGCAAGAAAACAGCTTGTATCAGCAAAGCTGGTACTTAGAGTGGCAACTTTTATCTCACCTCAACTTTACCAGAGGACATATGAACATATTCTTAGTCATTGTTCAATTCCTTGTATAGAAAAATGGTTTATTAAGGTATTTGTGATTATTATTTGCTGAGTATAAATAATTAAAATGATTTTGTACTGTGCTAAACTTGTTTTAGACACATCTTGTGCCTCCTTGTACCATCTATATCACTATGCTATAGACTGTTTTCAACCAGCTTTGGTTGTTACGATTTATGGAGGCATCAGCAGACTGTGGGTAACTGTCACTGGTTTTCTCTAAGTCTCTTCTTCCATAAAGATTATTAACTAAAAAAAAAAAAAAAAGCCTTTATATATGGGTCTTTTGAGGCCTCTATTTTTCTGGATCATTAATGTCTGCAGGCCATGTTCTTCTGTTAACTTTTTGAGGTAACGTGTTCAGACTCAGGCAAGCTTTACAATTTCATCAGAACTAAAGTATGCTTAGAGCACATTGAATTATTGCTCAATTAATTTTGTATCCTAATTAAGTGGAAGACAATCTTATCCCTGACAAGTCTCTTTTCTGTGTTAAATCTATCCTGTTTCAGGTGTGATGCAGAGGATAACTTATCTGAATAGAACCAGACAGATCTGAGCTGCTGTCTGCACTATATAAGATTCTGAGCAGCTTCACCCCAGCCATGGCAGTGTGATGTTGCTGCTGTCTTGGCAGTCCCTACCCAGCCTCCTTCCCCAGCTTTTTGCTTCTCTCTACCTATTAGCTCAGCAGAGCACACAGCAAAATAGAGGAGCTTAGGTGCACCGTACTATAATCTGCAGAAATATCTGCTGTGAAACAGTGAGGAAAAAAACGTCAACAAGATCTCAAAGAAAGGAAAAATACCTAAGATTAGAATCATTCCAGCAGCAGGCACAGCTTTAGGGACTACCTTGCCCATAAGTTACTGCCTGGCAGCACAGAGTATGCAGTAAATCTGTCTGGGGCACTAGCTAGCAGTCCAGTTGTAACACTGAACTGTTCTAGCACAGTTCTCTCAAGAGGAAATCTCTGAAAATTTTTAGTTTGTGCAGGCAGCTTCCTCTTCTGCTTCTAGTATTCATCCCACTGCACTTTCTCATTTAACTGGAGATTTATTTTCCCTTTATTCTTGATTTAAAAAAGCAGCAATTGTTGGACAGCTAGCTTTATCTATAGATCACATAATGAACAGCATACATGTGGTAAACAATGTGTTTCATTTCCAGGTGGCTTTGAAAGAAACACATGCTTATCTTCCTGTAATCAACTCATTACATAAATTTTCTTGCAGAATTGGTCCAGATGTCCTGTTTTTTCCCTTCTCTCCCTCAGAGGAATTACAAACTACAGAAATTATCTCAACATGCACCTATATGAACACAAGCAATTATTTGTGGCACCTATAGATACAAAAATTTGATCAGTGCTATGAAAAGATTCTTTTATGTCATCACAAACCCAAGCAAATGCGGTGCCAATGTCAGACTCTGAAAGCTGTGTGGAATAGGTCAATAGGTCCTGAGTACATTACTGGATGCAGCCCAGTACTCCCTGCCTTCTTCCCAGGACTGACTGACTCTTTGACATTATATTCTGGAAGCACAGTTTGCAGAGCCTGCAGGAGTCCTGTGGTTTGCTCACTTGTACTCCCCTCTGCTCTGGTCACAGAACCAATGATCCTGCTAGGCTGGCAGTTCAGAAAATTCTCTCTTCTTATTGTTGTTTCTCATGGTACATGGATGCTTTTTTTTTCCTGGGTCATTTCCCATATATCCATTTATGGGTCATGGACTTTTCATTTTCTGGGTGTCTGATACAGAATTATGTCTTACAATGGCATTAAGTAAAAAGCTTGACTGCAAGTAACTCAGCAAATTCTCAACTCAGTCACATCTAAACATAAGGCTTCAATGGACTGGACACTTCTCATGGCCAATTGCTATCAGTAGTTCACAGTATTTACTACAATTTTTAACTGCAGAGGGTAAACAGTATGCTTTCTTGTCCTTGAATCACAGGAACAACTGAATCCTGGAGTAAATGGTTGCTTTTCATTTATAATATATACATAGGGAACAAAAGACCATGAAAACCATGGACTTACAATTCAGCCTATGACATGAAGAAACCAGCTCCTGTTCACCTTCTAGTTTCATGACTCTGTCTTGTCTCATCATCAGAGAGGAGTGAGTTGGACAGTCTTCGCTTCCTTCTCCACAGTGAAGAACAGTCATCCTTTTAGTTAGGAAAACAGATATTCCTCTCCATCCTTCTCCATCTTCAGGTGCCACTAAGAGAACTTTGCTGTTTTCTGAGCTTGACTCAGTCAAATTTCTTTTCTGGTCACATTGTAACCTCTCTGCATAATATATTCACTCTTCTAGGGCTCAGCTGTAAATATACCAGGCCCAGGCTACAGAAAAGACACACATCTAGCATAGAATAAGATATTAAAACTCATATCTGATTATTTTAGACCTTAAGTTACTGGAACTCCTTGCAGTATTGTATAAGGAATTAATTGCATGCAAACACACATTCACCTCCTATGAAATAAGCAGACCAGACACTTTACCCATGAGGAAAAGCTGTCAAATATGCATTAAATTGGACTTTGATACTGCAGGCAACACCCCTCTGCAACTGCCCAACAAACCCTGAGCTGCCCATAAGCAAAGCAGCCCTACAGACATATGCAGGGCTCCTCCACAGGAGCTGGCAGATTGCAGAGGGAGTAGATCCAAAAGAATCCTGGAGGGAACTGCACAGGAGATACAGCAGCATTAACAATACACTGGAACAACTAACAGGGAGAAAAAGAAAAGAAGAAAATAGCCAGCCCAAAACTGATAGAGATCTTTAATTTAAAACCAAGTAAGTTTATTCATTGTGGAAGTGCAACAAAATACCCCAGGGATAGCACATTCCACTCCAACAATTAAAATTGCATTAAAAAGTAGATAGGATGGTCTGAATCTTAAAAAGAACTAGCACAAAAGCTAGTGCTTTTCTTTGTTTCAATATATTTATCTTTGGGTGACAGAGATAGTCAGTGATTAATTTTTTAGGTACTTAATTTACAGCTTCATTGCTTTTATTTGCAAGTCATCCTGCTCCTTATAAATGCTAGCTTGGGACTGGAGAACTGTAACACACAGGCACTTAGGAGAGGGCAGTTTTGAAAGAACGGTGATATTGGGCTCAGTCACATATGGAGGAGACCCAGTTGGGAGCTACTAGATATTCTACATAGATAGTGCTCCCAACTGTTTCTCTCTAAAATCTGAGATAAGATGTTCAGTACCATTCATAAAAGCAGATTCTGCTGCAGCTGAGGGGATGCAAGCAGGCAAAAGGAGAGCACTGGACTACAAAAGCTTACAGCAGGTGTTGCTTGAGGGAGCTGCCAGTTTCTGACCACTGAACCCATTTTTGCTGTAGAAGTAATTACCTTGAAAATGCTGCAGGTAGGTCTTACACCCATAGCAGCCTACTGTCATACATATTTGTTACTTTGCTTCAGCTGAGCTTTACAAGCCCAACAGGATTCTCTATCACATTGCAATTATGTATCTTCTGCTAACACTCTCTGCCCAAAGATTTCAAAATATTTTATAAGCATCACTCTTAAAGCTTAAACCAAGCTTCGCTGAAAGCTTAAACCATTCAAGCTTAACCAAGCTTAAAGTTCTCTGACATACAGGTATTTTAAAGGAAACAGAGTACAGTAAACATTTGCAACAAAATGCCAATAGAGTTAATCTCCTGAGTCCCAGTCCCAAACTTATCCTTCTTTTCCTCTGACATTCCTTTTCTCCTCCTACCTATTTATTACAGCAAGAAGGACTACATTTATTCTGCACAAGTTTATTAACCACAATACAGACAAGTATTTCCAGTATTAAGCCAGTTCCTAATTCCATAGGGAGATTGCCTGTCTGGTCCATGTCAGTATGATGGCCTGGTCTCAGCTGACTCTGTTTGGTTTGTGTCTTTTGGCTTTGCTGTTCTCATGATAACTGTCTTCAGAGGGTGCTTGGCCCTTTCCATTTGTCCCAGATTCCTCTGGAAATTTCTGGCCCTCAGCCAACACCTGTCGAATAGTCATGTTGATGCGGGAGGACTGCAGGTACTTGGCACACACCTGCCAGTCCTCATCAGAGCTGTGCTCAATGACTGAGCCAGCAGGAAGGTCTGAAGAAAGAGCTTGGTCGAGGCAGGAAGGCAGAGCTGTCCCCTCAGGGTTGGGCAGGACCCGGGGGACAGCGTGGTACAGCAGGCGGCTGAAGCCAGACATCACCATGATATCCCCGCTGTGCATGAACATCGCTGTCGGCGCCTCCTCCCGCTTCAGGCCCCCCAGCAAAAATATCGAGGATTGCCCAAAGCTAGAGACGGTATAAAGATGGGGAGAGAAAACAAATTCAGGTAGAAAACAATTTTCTGTTCAGTAAGAAAATATCAGTAGTTAAATTCCTTCATAAAAACCACCCCAAGCAATCACAAAAACCAGAGGGATGCCTAAGAACAACTTTTAGGTGGGAACATGGCAAACAGACTAAGATCTGGTTCAAGATAGGCAGAGTGTGACCAATTGCCCTGCCAGGTTTGAAGCTCTGCTGAGATACTTCTTTAGTACTCAACTGGCACTCTGCTGCTTTAGAATAGACCTGTGCTCTCTGCAAAAGAGCTCTTCACTCCAGGCACTATATCCAGGCTATTCAAGCAGTCCTTAAAGAAAAACTATGTTCCTGGCCTACAGCATTCTGTTATTCAAATCTTCTGAGAGTGAAGATTATATACCCAATTAGCACACCACATCATACTGCCTTCCCATAACCATAAGCAACCCTAGAAAAAAGCCATCTATCTTTGCATAACACTCAAGTCTGCTTTCCTTGACTCACCTGAATGATAACAGGGGCCGAGAATGGTCTAGTTCAGACTCATCCACATGAATTCCCAGTGAAGAGTCAAAATGATAGTAGTTCAAGATCCCTGCTTGGGCCTGGAAACCCCGAAACCCACAGGCTGCAGCCACTTGCTCTGATAGGAATGCAAGGTCTGAGGGGAAAGGAGTGTGGTGATTTGCTGAGTACTTCTGGAAGGAGAGGGAGGAGAAAAAAAAAAAAAAAAAAAGAAAGCCACACCCAACACATCAGAGCAGCAAATACACTTGGAAACAAACTTTGAAAAAGAATTCAAAATCCTGGCTGATAGTCATGGAGAAGGACATCACATTTACCTAGAAAATGACTACAGCACGGGCAGAACCACAACAAATTTACCTCCTACCATTAAATTCGTGGCCTAGGCTGAGACTGACAGAGATTTCAATTAATTGTGGAGTTAATCATTATATCTAGATGCTAAACTTGAAATCAGTAAGATTAGTACCAACATCCTGAGGATCATCTCAGCCACAACCTGAAGCTGCCAATGGAAACACAGTTTTGTAGCTCATCAACAGAGCTCCAAAACAAGCATCCTTATTCCTTCCTTAATAACAAGCAGAAATCAATTGCAAACCTACTTTTTCTCTCTCCCATAAGTCATTCTGAGAGGACTGGAAGATAATAACCAAACTTTTATTAAGGTTATCCAATAACAAGTTAATCTGGTAAATAAAAGGCTGCAAACAGATTTGGTTATCTGCAATATACGGATAAGATGCATATTCACCCTGCCAGTGTTTATCAGCCTCCATCTATGTCAGTCTCATGAAAAAAAAGTTTATTTTGATCAGGATCCTCAAAACAGCTGTTAGTTGGTAAGAATGCACTACAGTGTTCAGACTCATTGAAGTTCCAAAATCACATGAGCAGCAGTTTTTTCTTGTTCTTGCTCACTCCACCGAAGAGTAGTTTCCCAGAAGTCACACTCAACTTAAGAGTTAGCAATGCTTTTGTAATCATCCCATTTGGTAGGTAAAAATGCCACTTACCCTGAAATAATTGCAGGTTTAAAGCTGAGTGTATGTTATCATGTTAACTTTCAAAGGAATGAATGCAGCAATGGACTTCTGCTGTTAAACCCTTCACAGTAAACCAATACAAATTAAAATGCTCTTAAAAGCACAGTTTGTTAGTGCCTTTCCTCAAAACTGTCTTGTAGGATCATAAACATTTTATTCCATTATGTCCTTTTCTGTTTGCCATTCTGAGTGCTTATGGCTAAGAAAAATAGAGAAGAATTTAACCTCAATACCTTAGTATCCCAGTTATAATGGTAACCAAGGGTCACCCAGCGCAGCTTCTCCAATAGGCTCCTGGGCTCCCATTTACTGGAACCTTTCCTTCTACAAAGACAAAATATAAAGAAATAGGAGATGTGTTCATTTTTGAGGGGCCTTCTGGTACTGCAGCATACAGTAATGAGATTCACTCATCCATTTCACAGCCTATTAAAAACAATCAATGCTAAACTTTTATTTTCAATGCCAATACTTTTTTCCTCCAAAGACCCTGAAAATTTAGTTCATGGAACGTGTGGAAGCTGTGGGGCCTACTGCCAACTGGTGTCAGTTTGAAAGCTTCTATTTTCAAATGGTACCTAAGAGATTATCCAATGCAAACACAATGAGTAGCGCAGATTAAGAAATCAGAATTAAACATGCCCTATTTGAACACCCAAAAATGAAAGACCAGAATCTGAAGATCTGAAATCTGCAAATTCAAGGAAAAAAATATTCTAGGCACTTAATGGAAAATTACAAGAGAGGAAAATGAGTGCCTGACAGTGAAGCATACCATGCTGTCTAATATTGCAAAGGATGGTTAGTTCTACTACTTGGTACTTTGATGAAATGTCCTTAGGATGGGCTGACTTGCAGTAAGAAGCAAGACTTCTCTAGCTATCACCACAGTGTCAAGAAGTCTAGACTGCAGGTGTCCCCTTCTCCAGACTGCCTTGCAGGACAAAGAACTGTTCTTCTCACGTGACAACCCTGAAGTAAAGGGACTGAGTAATCTGAAGCCACACACCAATTTACCATTCTTATTTGTAGGTGATGAAAGCAAGAAGAGGCTTCAAGGAGAGGCTTCTAGGACAGACTATGGAAAAGCCTTTGAAAAGTTACAGAGTACAAATAACTAAATCAGATAGAAATATATTAATGACAAATACAAAAAGGAAGGTACACATCTATCTTCTAGTCTACTCATTCCAGCAATTTCAGCATACTTTTCTCAAGCCAAGTCACATGTTATGGTAAAAAAAAAAAGAAAAATATAGTAAAGGGAAATATACTCAGAAGACAAACAGTAGTACCAGACGGCTGGCTCTCATTTATAGCCTCATTAGTTCAGCATGACATGCTCTCTTTTAAAAAAAAAGATTGATATTTGTGCTGTCATGGTCAAGTCTCAGCCAAACATCTGCATTTAATGTGCATTTCTACCTGGATACACAGCTTGTTCCTGCCCTTCAACTATGCCATCTGATAGCTCAAAAGATAAAGCAGGAACAGGAGTAAAATGCAAGTTTCTTTACCTTTAGCAATTTTTCTTAGCTCACTGATACTGCAAACAGTCTTTCCAATTTCCATCTGTCATAGGGTAACAGCAACTGCAATTACCATAAACACCAACAGAGTAACTGTCAAATACATGCTGCTTGGAACAATTTGTGTAGCCCACAAGCAGGCAACACAGCATTTAGAAAAGGGAGAGCCCACAGTTTGTACATCTTTCAACTGACAATGTTCATAATGAAACAATTTTAGCATGTGCCTTTTGAAAGCGCCCTTTTTTTGCTACAGTGCTAGAGTGTTTCCACAACAGCAAGAGCCCAAATGCATGTAGGAAGTCCCTATTCCCAGAACTTGGTATTTTACATGGGATTTCATATATGATTGCTAAGAAGGGGAGAGTATGAGTGTTGTGTATCTGGAAAAATGAGGTCCCATAAGAAAGCACAGAAAAGGTCTGGTATAACTATGTTAGAAAAAGACTGAACAGCATGAGAGCTTTGGTTTGAAGATCTCTTGTTTCTTTATATGCTGGTAATGATTGCATCTGTAAAACCCCTCCAGCCTTTTCCTTATACACAAGAATAGACATACCTATATATCTGTATGTCTATATCTCCCTTGTGGGAATGCTCTATTCCCTTTTATGCTTTCAATTGTCCCCAGTACCAGAGAAAATACTCAGGCTCCAACGAAAGCATAGCATATCTGTCTAGGAATTGTATAGATTCACCCTGCCTTGTGATCCTGAAAAGAGCAGATAAGCCATGACCCAAGCACATGCATGCATTATCCTAATGGCTTTAAATAGCATTAAAAGTGAGACCCATCTTGGAAGTAACCTCTCTTCAGTTAAGCACTGTTTCTGGCCTTCCTGAAACACTTTCACTCCAGATACTAGAGAGACTGGCTAGTTCCATCTGCTGCCTCTAGGTATAAGCACAAATACAGTAGTTTGCTCACTTAAAGACTCAGGTAAGGACTTCATAAAATTACCAGGGTTGCTGCCAGCCATCATTTTTCTAAATACTGTTTTCAACTGAACTGGATTCAGCTGCAAATTAACCTCTGCTCTGATCATTCTCTGCACACAGGAGGTCCTGCTGGGAGAGGCCTGTCAAACTGGAACAGTACCCCACTTTTTTCAGCCATTGGGCACAATGCACAATCCTTTCACAGAACAATTTTTCATTCTTGATGGAAATTTCTGTAACTAATTCTGACTGAGCCTGGAAAACAGAGGTCAGAGTATAACTTCTCTCCTAGGTGCAAACAGCTAGAAGTCCCAATCTTGCTTTTGCCATTCTATGTCTTGTAGATGTCAAGAGGTTTTTGAAGAAACATCTCAGCATGTCACCCTCACTAAGAGACTGAGGTGGAAGATAAGCATTGTAAAGAACTCTGGTTGCACCATCACACAAAACAATCATTATGAAAAATGAGCAATGAAATTAATAAGGCAACAATAAATATCCAAATAGCTAAAAGATTCTGTACTGTAAACAGTCTGTCTTATATATATTTTTACAGGACTTTAATAAAGTTAAAGCTTTAAAAGACTTTTCCTTTTTTAAACTTTCTACTTGACTTCAAAACTGGGAAAATTCTCCATTAAATTCCAGATCAGGTAGAGGAAAGGCAGCTACATCAGCCACAGAATTCTGAACCTGATGGAATCTTTCAGATTAAACAGGATTGCTATTAAAATGGTACATTTAATACATGTAATTCAATGTCAAGCTGAATTAAGAAGAACCACAAACAAAACCAAACCAAAAGAAATACTTTAGAAAATGAGAACACAGAAACTGTTAGATTTGAGAAGTTCAAGAAAGTACAGATAGCAGCATTTCTATTACATTGTACTGGGTCTAAGAGCTGACTGGGAAGAAGTGCTACCATTAGTGTGGAGTTTTGGAAAGGATCTGTTTTGCCTCAGGAAAACTGAGGCCCAGAGGGACTTCACAGTTCCACTCCTAGCTGAGCTCAGCAAGCTTCAAGCACCACAGCAGCCAGGGTCACTATGTAACAGGTCACCAATGGCTTTAGAACAATATGCTACTGGAAAATCCCACTGAGAATGAAAGCAGAGAATTAGCAAGGATGCACGTGAAGCCATGAAATATCCATCTTTAACTTGGCATGTCTGACACCATCTGTATTCTGCCACCATGTACACAATCTTCTTCAGCTTCCCTTCCCTGCTCCATTTTCTTAGACCTTCTCAAAGGTGAGATCTGGCTCCATCAGTTTTGACCCTGAAAGATGATAGTGGACTCACCTCAGCTGCTCCTTGCTCTGTCCCCACAGGTCAGTGGTCTTCTCAGGAGCCATGTGCAGGTGCAGGTTGCAGACATTGGGTTTCTCAGGGTATAGCTTGAGACACTGCTTCACCCAGTGACGCTGGCAGCCAGGAAGGAAAGGGTTTGGTATGAAAATAAACCCTGACCACAAAGAAAAAAGGAGAGGATGGAGACAAAGTAGGATTAGGCGTTTCCCTGAGGGTTTTTTTTCTGAATTTAGAGCAAAGGATAGGAGCCAAAGTTAGTGAAAAAAAACCCTTAGACATACAACTATTGACTGTGCATCTAAGCTGATGAAATCTATTCTAGTTAAGTTAAAACTCATTGCTTTTTTTCAGAAAAAACAAATGGTGGCACAAGGTAGAAGGCAGAGAGGGCAGCCAACACTAGTCCAAACAAAAATTACAATAAAGGACATATCTATGCAAGGCATATTGATTACAGGAGCTAAAGGAGTAAGAACATGGAAATCCAGTTGTTTTGGAGTAAATTTTATTTCTTAAATTATTCAGCATGACTTTTCTCTTAAGCCCAGCAAAGTTCTGGCCAAAATTCTGGCCTCGTTTTTCTATGCTTCAAACTAACTTTATCCCTGGCTCTGAACTCATACTGTCTTCCTACTGCTACTTCAGAAAGAAGTCCCTGAGCTGAGCAAGTGTCTAGTAATGTAAAGTGTCCTCCCCTTTTCTTCATGCTTATTTCCAGGTAAGTCTGGTTGTATCCATATTTGCATTTTGATATGGTAACACTGAGAAATGGGCATGAAAGTCAAATGATATCCCAAACCACTTGTTATTGACTGTGAATACGTTGCAGGCATTGTTAATTAACAAAACAAAATAAACACCCAGCTATTCTGCACATTCATTCAGCCAGGCACCTCAGGCAGGGTTCAAGCAGCAGCCCATATGAGAGATGCCATTAATCTGTACTGTACCCTACTCTGAGAATCAAGGCATACTCTCAAAGACTGTCAGTTCAATAAGACTCACCAAACAAAATCCACATGTAAAGAGAGATAAGGGTGTAAGAGGAACAAAGGAAAAGGAGGTTTTAGGGTTTTGGCCTACTGTGTCTTTTTGAACTTCTCAGTCATATCAACTTAACAGAGACAAAAATAGGTGAAAAAAGAAGCAGCAAAGCTAGGACTCTCAGTAGGATACAAACTTGCCTTGTGGCCTTATGAAAGTGGTAATAAAAACACAAAAAGAGCTACCTGCCAGCATACCTCAAAGACTCAAGATTAAAGTAACTGGTTAGAAAAAAACCCTTCAGTGTATTAATAACAGATGGTCATTCACTTCACTCTGTTCCCTGCACTTTCAGAATATGGCAGCCTTCTGATAGGTTTGACTACAAGAAGTTTTTTTGCCAGAAGCATTATATTTACTTTCTGTTGGCATCTACATAGAACAATAATGGAGAATAATAATACTGCCCTTCCTGTCTACAGCTTTTGATGTGGGGTTCTTGAAGCACTTTACTACATTCATGAAATTCCACTCTACCATGTATGTGTTATCCCCAGGTATTAATGAAGGCATTGAAGCCTGGAGAGTTAGTTACAAGCAGAGATGTGTTGCAGTGTGACACCATTTCCCGTTTCACCTATCCCAACCCCCCAGGTGTGCCAACCTCTCCTTTCCCCTCCCCCTTTGCCCTCCTGCTGAGAGCTGTCCATCAATCTTAACATTCCAGCAGGGTCGTGGTGTGGTTGGCAGAAGTTCAAAAGATGCCCCTCAGGTCTGGGCTCATTGGCCTATCCAAGTGTCTTTATCCCTTGAGCCTTCCCCTTCTCACACCTGGTTGGTGCCTCACCTGTCCCTTCCCCTCCCCCTGTCCCCGGGGCTTAAAAGGAGACGGGACCATGCGGTCTGGATTCTGTTGGGAGCTATTACAACATTCAGAGGTCTGTCATCCTGCAATAAAACTCTGGATTAAAACTCTACGGCAGAATCCTCTCCTGTTTCTCTTCACCGTTGCCTGAACCTTTTCCACCAGAGGTAAACTGAGTTCCTACTTTGCCTGGATTTGTTCCGAATGCCCAGATGCAGCACCCAGCCGGCCAAAGGTGTCTCTGGGGTGAAACACCACAGCTGCCACCTGTGGCCCAGCAGCAAGGGTCAGACGAGCCCAGGCACGCTCCACCCGGAAATATTTGGATTAATATTCCATAGAGATGAGAACAAGAATCCAGATTTTATGGCTTTTATCTCACAGACTTAGAACATGCTCATGTCTTTCCAAACCTTTCCTTGACCTAGGTTTCTCTTAAGAAACTAGACTGGTCTAGATTTACAAAAGCAGTAACAACTAAAAAGTGGGTTATGACTATGCTCATTGTGTCTAGAAAGGCAGAAACTGAATTTCTAACAGTTGCAAAGTTTTACTATAAAATTCTGTGCAAACATAGAACAAAGACCAATAGTGCTAGAAATCAGTGATTTGCACACATAGGAGGGAGAAAAGTGAGAAATAAGAAATATTTCTGTAGCAATCTTTCTGAACTGACTGAAGAACACCTCAGACAAACTTTGAATACATAATTGAACCTCTTGCCCTTGAAAGATGTGAGGGGAAAGGGTAAAAGAATTATTCTTTGTGAGTCTGTATAGTAAAGGAAACTGCCCTGAAGAAGTAGGTGCAATTCTCTTACTGCAGCATTATCTTGCTATGTACTACAAATTAATTTGCACCTAATGAAAGTGGTCTCCAACCTCAGTCAAAGGAAGGATAAGATATGTAAGATGTCTAATAACAAGAAACCCCTCACATAAAAAGAAGTGTCAGTTACAAAGACCCAAAGACAGCATCACATGCTTCTCACAAACTCAGGATACCACAATAGGAATTCACCCAGATTCCTTTGTCTTCTCTTTCATTGCTTACTGTGGGGACAAAACCAAAGTACTTCCTTTCCATTTGCTTATAGATAAACTAAAGAAATTCTTACTTCACTTAGAAGGCTATTGGGACAGCTGGTTCCACATCTCCTACTGTTTAAGAATGTCCAGATAAAGGTAGCTGAAAAATGATAAAATACTATTCTCCTCAAATCCACACATGACTTGATTCTAAACAGGACAGATAATTTGTCAATGTATTTGCATTTCATTTTAGAAAAAGGTTTCCTTTGCCAAAGCAGAAGAGAAATGCAGTTTTAAGTGGAACACCTGTGATTCCCCACACCCCCTATGTAATTACCAGGGAAGACATTTAGACAGACAGTAAATGACAACCAGACCAAGCAAGGGCAGCTATAATATGACAGACAAGTGGAACAAAACATTTACAGAGACAAGAAAAGGCAGAAGCCTTTCTCCTGAAGTTATTCAATTCCCTGTGTATTAAACATGCCAGATGGATAGCATGGCTGCCTCAGATTCAGAAATGGTAGGCTGGCTTCAAAGCAACCCACACAGAAACTGAGGTCCCAATGAATGGAAAGAAACATGAGAAAAAAACATAATTAATCAAATTCCTTAAATAAGGAGGATCTGGGGAACTACAAACTCATCAGCCTTACCAAAACCCCTGATTAAATGATGAGGCAAACTTTCACAGTAGCAAATTCTAGACACATGCTGGTTGGGAACAGAGAGCATGGAAGGCAAATTTTGTCTAACAAGCCTTACTGCCTGCTACAGTGAAATGTTCAGACAAGGGGAAAACTGGGGATTATGTTTACCTTGGCTTTAGAAAAGTTTTCCATATGGTCTTCTACAGCACCACTGGAGCCAAACTGGGAGCCATAAATTTTTTGGGCAAATTGAAAAAGTAATCAAAAGGTGATGGATCACCAGGCTTAAAGAATATTGATTTGATGATTCAAAGTCTAACCAGCAGCTGTTATGAGCTGCATTCTTTGATCCTGGGGCAAATATAACTACATCAGCAACATGGATGATGGGATGTTCATCCTCATTTCACTTACAGATTACACTAAACTGGGGGAGCAGTGGATCTTCTGCAGGCTAGTACTGCCCCTGAAAAGGACTCTGACAAATAAGAATGGGCTAAAGAGACCCTCAGAAGTTCAAGAGTGGTAATTCTGCATCTGGGGCAGAATAACACCATGCAACAGTATGGCCCAAGGGTCAAGAGCAGGTCCAAACCAAGGCCAGGCTGCCTTGAGGACAAACTGTGAGCAGCAGTGAGGGCTCTGACACAAGTGACACATCCTGGTACTGGTGAGCACCACCCACAAGCATGAGAAAGGAGGGGAGCCTGAATCTTCTCAGATGCGCACAGCAAGATTGTGAGAGACAACAGTCATAAGTAACAGCAAGACAAATTTTTATTAGATATGGGGTTTAAGAAAAAAACATGGCCAAACACTGGTACAGGTGCCCAGAGAGGGTAATCTCTCTCCCTGGAGATTTCCAGAACTTACCCATACAAGGCTCTCAGCATCCTGATCTAACTTACAACTTCATCCTGCTTGAAGCAGGGTGTTGGCCTAGACCTCTGGAGGTGCCTTCCAACCTAATACCTCTCTGTGACTATACCAAGTAAACTGCAAACCTAAACCACATTTCCACTTCTGAAATAACCTGCCTAATGAAATTACTCTGCATACTGAATAGGCCAAAAGGTTCTTATTCACTTACTGTACTCCATGTCCTACACTGACAAATAGATGTCACACTTCAACTGTGAAACTACTGTATTTCAGCCATGTACCCAATGAGCATGATGTATATTGAGGATTCTACAGAAATAAAGTCTCTGCCAAAGGCAACAGGAGTCCATTCTCATGAGCTATAGTCTGGCTGATCTCACTGTGAAACAACTGGCTCTTCTCACCTTTATAAATACTACTGGATCCCACCCTTTAGCGGATTTGTTTGTCCTCCTGAACTTATGGCAACATTAAATTACACTTAGGCAAACCAAAATAGCTTTTTCAGGCAGGACAAGAAAAATAAGATTGGCACTGCATGAATTCAAAGCAATGAGGTTGTGTTTAATTTTTCTTGAAATCAGAGGTACCTACCTGGATACCCACTGAGTCCATAGGCTTTCCACTGGCTAACTGGCTGTAATCCTGCTCTGTAGGCATCTTGATCACTGACTGAAGAAATACTGAGCTGTGATCTGAACACCTGGAAAAATAAAACGGATCTGGTTAAAAAAAGAGTGAAAAAGACAAAACTCATCCAAAAATAGCATCTGAAAGGAAGAGTGCTACCATGCTTGAAGGCAACTCTTGTGAAAATGCAAAATGTACCACAAAACTACTGTCTAAACAGCTGTGACCAGGACAGGGCAAACAGAGCCGTACACACTGAACATAAGAATCAAAAGGTACTTACAGGTTTTATCTAAGGATGAGATGTCTCCCACTCATTAAAAAACCCAAACAATATATGCCAATGAGAAAAAATTCATCATGATTTGTCCATTTCCACAGTAGAGCCTCATCATCATAAAACATTCTGGTAACTATCATCCTCCATTAGAGAGCAACATACTCATAACACTCCTTACTTTCACAGAACATTCCAATTACAGGTTGCCCATGATCCTAGAGAGTAGATGACTAATCTCATCTCTAATTTCAGAAGGATAAGCAGTACAGCAATGAAGTAGCCAAAGCTGTCAGCTATGAAGCACAACAGGAACTCTGTCAATTCTGAATGCCACCATGCCAATTCTGTTCCAAACAGCAGGATCAACAGTTCAAGGCTTGGTAAGATGTATTTACTTAACATACTCCCTTATGTTACAACAACACATGTATTTAAGCTAACATTTGCTGGGAAAAAACCTCCAAACTCATTCTCTACTGTGTTTCCACTCCCTTCTTCCCTTAGGACAGGAAACTGTCTTGAGGAGGGCAAGGCAGAAGCAAGTTGGTTTTGTTCTGGCTTAGTTCCCCAGTCCAGCTCTCCATGCAGCAGTGGAAAAGTACAGATTCATATAAGGAAAGAGATGGCCAGGCACAGAAGGAATAAACAGGCAGAGACTGCAAGACTTTGTCTACGACAACTTAAAATGTGTCAAATTAGGGCCTTTGCACACAGCCTCTGTAGTGGTGCATGTGTAAATGAGTCTCTCTGCAGCTGACAATTCTGGTTAACATTTTCTGAACAACAGGACTAAATTACATACATAGAAGTTCTAAGAAATTCTGAACTATTGCTGGACAGCTTCTTTTGGCAATATGGTCAACTTTACCAATTTTTCAGCTCTTTGTCAAAAGCAGCTTTGCGAGTGCCAGCCTTGAGCTTACTTCACAGTCCTGTCCACAGAGCATCCCCAGGACCAAAACTCTGCCACCTCACTGCATGCTCAAAGTGCTTCCACACCAGCTATTGCCTGGGCTTTTGGAGAACAGGAGGTGTTTCTGTGCTGAAGAATTACATGTGCTGAATCAGTTAAACAAGCCTGGTAACAGGGCAGATGGGGTATGTCACACTTCACTGAAGAGCTCAACTGCATGAAGCAGTTTTCTGAGAAAACAGAAGCAATATTATCTAGGCCAATCTGCCTAGCCAGTAGGTCTTAAAGAGAAACAGCAGATGTTTTTAACCTGGTGGAAAGAGGAATAAAAGATGTTTTCACTAGTAGTTGCTACCTGATCTTAGAAGGTAACAGGCACAAAGAGGCATTGAAAGAAGACAGATCCTTGAGATGTTCTCAAATTGAAATCAAAATGAATTTCCCAGAAGAGCCATAATGCTCTAATCCTTTACCAAATACAGGATTCCAGCAAGCTCAAGAAAGGCTGAGATGTTAACAACTTCCTTAGTTAATTCTAATGCTTCTAACAATTTCATATGGGTCAGGTTTTGTGTTTCATTAGCAACAGCAAAATTATAGTCCGAAAAGATAGAAAAATAAATAGCTTAATAGAACACTAACAAGAAAAGACTAAGCATTGAAACAATGAAAAATTAGGCAAAGTTTCATTTTAACTATATTACTCAATCCTTTTTTTGACATAAGCTCATAAGTAGAAAATCCCTGGATAACAACTTTAGCAGATTTGTGTCATTCTTTTGTGAGGTGACAAAACAGAAGACAAGTTTTAAGGATAATTTCTTCATCACTGAAGACATGGTAAACGACTACGATGGCTCCTACTTTCAGCTGTGCTGATGACTATTCCCCAACCCACTGTAGCAGCCGAACTCATCCTGACGACTAAACCAAGCATTTATTATACAGGCGCGAGAAAGGAGAAGAAACTTGACTGGGGGGAAGGCAGTACCGCAAGGGGAAGCTGATTCCAGCTCACCCAGGTATTTCAGGGCTAAGACAACGGCTAGCAGGGAAACAGTGTCAGTTCCGAGCGTGAAACTCGGCGTATTTTATGTCCATACATTCTGCTGCTTAAGAATCACGTGGTTCTGTAAGAGGCTTCGAAGTTCCCTAACTGCAGTATAGGGAGCTATTTAAATATTATGAAAGTAAATATAAGCAAAAGTAGTAAATCTGTGACTAGGCATGGCGCTGGGCAGGGGCACCCTGTGCCCTCGGGCAGCGTCCCCCGGCTCAGGGACACCCCGGGCGAGCCCGGCTCTGGGGCCGCGGGCAGAGGGGCCCCGGGCCCTGCCCAGCTGCCCCGCTCGGGTCACGCTCTCACTTTAAACCAGCACAGGGACCCGTAAGAGGTTCAGCGCTCGAGTGCAGCGTCCTCTAGACAGAAAGGAAGCGGCACTAGGGATTCGGCGTGAGGCACGAAAGGAAAAGGCAGGTGAAAAGAACAGGCTACAGCGACAACGTCGCAGCCCCGCACTGAGACACCGCACCGAGGGCGGGACGCGCTCCGGGGCGCGGGCAGAAGCAGCCCAGCATTACCTGGCCCCCCGGCGCAGAGAAGTCCACCACGCCCCGCAGGTCGGACGCGTCGCGCTGCCGATAGAAGCGAAAGAGCCGGCGGAACGCATCCTCCCCGCCCTCACGGGTCAGGGCCGCCGCCGCCATTTCGGGCCCGCTAGGGCGGGGCCGCCCCGCCCTCTCTCCGTCCCTCCCTCTCACCGCAGTCCCGACATGGCGGCGGCCAGCGCGGTGCGGACGGTCGGGCGCCGCTCCCGGCGGCTCTTCGACATCTTCGTGGCTGAGATTCCCTGGACGGTGTCGAGCAGTGAGTCTGCGCCCCCCCTCCCATATCTCGCCGCTGCTGGGGCTGGCGGGGTTGGGCGGCCTCGCCGCGTGCGCCGGCATAGGCCGGGGTCGGGCCAGGGCGGCGCGGCTGCGCGGACGCGCCGGGCCCGGGTAACCTGGTGCGTTTTCCCACAGAGGAGCTGAAGGAGTACTTCTCCCAGTTCGGGTCGGTGCAGAGGTGCCAGCTGCCTTTCGTGAGTACCCGCGCGTCCTCCGGGCCGCACTTCGTGTCTTCTCGGCGAAGCGGGGAAGAGCCGCCGGCTGCTCCTGCGGCTGAGGCCTTGCCCCGAAGCTCCCCCGCTTCCTTGGAGCTGCAGTCTGGACCCCTCATCTTGAACTCTAGTGAGGTTTTCAGCGCTCTCTACCCTTAACTCCTTCTTCCAGGAGTGCCACTACTTGTCTGCCAGCGCTCGGCCTTATTGAAGCTTAGTGGTTTCCGTTGGCTTTCAAAGAGCTTTACAAAGTACATACTTCAGCATCCTGTTGATGCTGCCATTTCTGAATAATTAATCTAAGTGCTTTGAGCTTCTCTAGCATCGTGTTGACATTCTTCGGACAGAGAATAAAGTTTTTGTGTGCCTGGTCTCACTGGCCAAAAACTAAAGATGTGGGTACGAACCTACCGTCTTTTCCTGCTGTGGATTAAGACCCCGTCCAGAGTGCAGGGCTAACACAAAACCCATAACCTCTGCAGGGTGCTGCCAATGCCTCTGTCGTTTAGGCTGTTTATCTTCTGAGTGTATAGATCGGGGATTGTAGTATCTAGTGCATTTTTTTAAAGATAAACGGTCAAAAAAAGTGTTCCTTTGCAGGTAAATTGAAGGCATTGCTTGAAGTTGTCTGTTTCTCCACTTGAAGTAATCCTGTTAAATTAAGCTCAGTGGGTAGTGAACGTCAGTTAGTGAGCTGATGTGTTCACTCTCTGTTGAGGATTAGTTTGGCAATGGAGGAAGTTTGGAACAGGCTGATTGTTTTGAACACTTGAAGCTTAGGTGCCTGCCTGTCATGTTTTCCCTCAAGCTCAGGTCAGACTGCTTTGTTTTGTTGCGAAGTCGGGTAGCTTACCACAAACTCACCTCTATCACTGGTTCAAGTGATGCATGTGTGTACATTCACATTCAGTGAATACTTGAGGAGTTTCATTACTGCTTAAAACCCGGAGGTACAAAAATCTCCAGTGCAGAACAGCCTAATTTAGACATCACTGTGGTACTGAAACCAGGCAGTACCTTGTAGGTGGTTTGAAAGTGTTGCCATTTATGCCTGATGATGGGAGTGGCTGAGCTGTTGTGAGCTCGGAGTGGGATCAGAGTAGGGACAGAAGGCACTTGAATACACCTGGCTTTTCCTCATTATCACCTGTTTATTGACAACTGTCTTTTCTGACTGGCAAATTATTTCTAAAAATAACATTTTTCTTTTCAGTGCAGTTAGTGCTTGTCATTGTGAATGGCACTCTGCTTTTGTAGTCTCTTAAGCAGCTGCTTAATCTTGCTGAATGTTGTTTAAGTACTGTGGCCATTTAAATGTCAGTTCTGTTGTGGCTGGCTTATTAGTAGATAAATACTGCAGTTGGAAACTACTGTCTATACATTATTCTAGGCTTCAACTGTATCTTAAGATCGTGATTTTTTGTTAATATTGCTAGATTCAAATTGAAAGGGATGTAGAACAGCCTGTGCTAGACCCCTCACACTCTCACTGACGCCAAATGTCTTAGTGTGAAAAAGGCTCCTGAAACAGCAAGTGTGCCAATTCCTCTGATAATTTCTGAATCTTTAAATTCAATATCTGTAGAAAGTTTTTAACAGCCTATGTGAATATTTCCTGTAGTAATTGCATTTTGTTTTTTTTACCTGGTAATTAGAACAGAGATACAGGCTTTCACAGACGTTATTGCTGGATTAAATTCTCAACTCCAGAAGAAGTTCAGAATGTGTTACAGAAGGACCCCCACATTCTTGAAGGTTCCAAGGTAACGTGCTAATTCCTTTATTACCATATTCTTTCAAAGTGTGTCTAAGAATTTTAGTCACTCAGTGTGCTTTTAATGTTTTGTAAATCATTACCACTTCTGTTTATTCTGTCCCTCTCAACTTGAGTTGTTAGGGGTCAAGATCATAGAGATACCAGAGAGATCACACTCAGGAGACCAAAAACTTCTGCTATGCTAAAGTAATGTGAATGCAGTAAAACTGGTTGGGATGTGCTGTGCAACTAGTTTGCAGTTTGTAATGCAGGTTTCTGCAGGTGGGTTCCAACATCTGATCCAGATGTTGAGTGGCAGGGGGAACATGATAAAGAAAGTGATGCTAAGCTTCGAATTTCAGTGAAATTTATGTTTTCTCCAGCTGTCATTTCATACAGGAGAAATCAGCTGCTTGCTTTCATGTGTTCAAGACAACTCTAAAATTGCTTTAGTGTAGGGTCTTGTTCTCTCCATCTTTAAGATTTTAAATGTTAGTAACACAAAAAATAAAACAGTTTGGCAATCTCAGTGCATAATGTATGGCATCAAGCCGGTGTACGGGTCTACTACACATATGAAAGTGTCTGTCCTTGATTGGTCAGCTAGAGCCAGACAGCTGTATCCTCCAGCTCCACTCCAGCATAGAAACACAGCAAAGCCATCTCACCACTCTCTCAACATTTAGTGTGCAGTGGTATTGACAGATAAGGAATAAAGAACAGTGAGTCAGTGGCTGCCCAAAGCCATTTTATTAACAGTTCTCATATCAAAATAATTAGAAACTGGCACCTGGTACGTTCCCTGAATAGGGGATTTTCTTACAGACTTACATGTGCTTCAGCTGATAAAACTACTCAGATGGCATAGTAGAGAGTGAAACCATGAAAAACAGGCAGGCTGGTGTATCAGACATAATTAATTCAAACCTTTGATTAATTAATAAGAATTCTTCAATATCCTTTTGACAAGTAATTTCTTATTTTGAGACTTTAAATGCTAGGAGATAGTAAAAGGAATTGATGATAGACTTCAGTGATGCAGTATTTTAATAGTGGTAAAGTATTTCACTTGCCATGGTTCATATTACTGCCCAAGTCATCACTGTTTGTGGTTACTTCTGTACCTATTCCCAAGAAGAACCAGCCTGCAAGTTCCAACTGGTACAAAAATGGGAGCAGAAATTAAGACTCCTTAAACTGTGATCAGATTGGCAGTAGATTGGTCCTTCATAAATTGTGTTGAAATAGGATGTTATCTGTATGCAATTACCAAATTAGGTACTAGAAATAACATAGTATTTAGTGGCAATTTCCTGGAAATTTTTGCTGCTTTTTGTTCTTGAATCTGTAAGGATCGCCACATGCATTTAACTGCCTAGGCTTCAAAGACTATACTCTCACAAGAAGGGCATGCTAAGAGGCTTCTTTATAGTGAAATAAAAAGCAGAAAGTAAGCAGTAGTTATTTTCATGTCTTAAAAAATGCAGGCTTCTCTAGATTACATGAGCACTTTTCCCAATTTTTCTAGGCTAGCTTTAGACAGTTACTTTTTATTAATTCCAGTTGAAAGCACAAGCTTTTAGGATGCATTTTGCTGGTACAACTAGCAATTGCTGTGGATGTATATTCAACTTTTGTGTCAGGAAAACCCTGGCTTGGGGCTTATGAAACTGAATTGGTTATAAACATATCTTCTGCTTTCTGTATCAAGGTTCTGGGTGATCAGAAATGAAAAATAACAAACTTTCTTGCCTAGCTAATATAAATAATTTCCATTGTTTTCAGCTCACTCTCAAACAGCAGATCCGTAGAAGACGCAGTCAAAGAAGGAGTCAAAGTGAGTGAGTGGTGGAAGGAGGCTTTATTTCACTAAATGTAAAGAAAGTAAAATAAAGATTACTGAGAAACTAAGAATGAGTACTTGTTTTAAAACAGAATCCAGCTGTTTCCCCTCCCTTGTTCAAAAAACTATATAGCCACACTAAAACACTGAATTATTAACACCCCAGCATCTGTTACAGCATAAGATGATCATTATATACAGCAGGAAAGCTCTTAACAGATGAAGTCAAAGCTTCAGCTACCTACAAAAACTAAAGCTGTAGGAAGGGGGCTACATTCTTACCCTGAGGTGCTGGGCAATGGGGAATCAGCAGTCATAACTTGCTAAAGAATAATTACTTCCCTTATGAAATGTTTCAAAGTGGTCTCCATGTCTTCTCTCTCTTTAGGTAGCTGTCCCATGTAGAAGAGTTAGTGTGTGTATGTATCCACACAGCCAGAGTTGTGAATTGCTGTGATAAAATGCCATCCTCCTGTACACTCAATATTAAAAACCCTTTTGCATGAAGTCCAAGCTTGCAGTCCATTTCCCTACCTCTCAAGGAGCAGAGGCATTCAGTCCTTCCTCCTCTTCTTGCTCTCATGCTCATGTTCCTTAGGGCGGCTGCTGTCTGATGGCCGTTTAGAACCACCATGTTGCTTGGCTTCCTCCAGAAACTTGTCCAAACCAAATGGATCCTCCTCAAATTGAACTGGTCCATCTCTGCCCCTGCCTCTGGTGTTACGATCCGAGTTAGAAAACTCTTTGTCAGGAACAAACCTGCAGGAGAAGATGATACTCAGTTGACTATCTTCAAAGTACTAATTAAGAATATTTCTTAAATTTATTTCCTTACCTGTTGGTCTTTATTCGAGCCTCTAGATCATCACCATACATATCTTTATCCAGATTTTTACTTGGCCTGTAGATGTTTTGGGCCATATCCTTGCCACTTCTCCAAGGCTGGTCATAAACATTATAAATTTCATCCTCTCCTCCAGCAAAGCCACTATCCATACCCTGTGAGGAACAGCAGAACAGCACAAGTTAAATCGACAAAATGTCAGCTAACTTACTTTATCAACAAAATACATTGATGATGTTACACAGTTACACAAAGATGACATGGCGTGATTTACAATTGATTTCAAATGAGTCCAAGCACTTAATGAGGATGTGAGTGGGTTTGGGTCTGGGATTAAGTCCAGAGAACATCACAGTACAGGCCTCAGTCCTACTCTTCCAGATAGCAACAGGAAGGATTACAAGCCATCCGCATTTCAGAATAATGGATCATTTCAGTCTGCCCTGCAAGTACAGCTGTCTGTAATAGCTGAGTACAACCATACAGAAATGTGTATTATTCAGAATTTCTGGAAAACATGATTTAAGCTGACTGATCCAAATCGCACAGAGGCTTATATAAACTCTGAAAGTATAAGTATCTGCTTGTTCATTTTTGGTTCATCAGCTTTCCCTCCTTGCCT